TTTTTTTTTTTGGGGGGGGGGGGTTGCTTGCTTGCATAACATCAGAACATTTCCCATGTTGCTTACCTGTTTGTTGTTGTCATCATTACATTAAAAATAAGCATACAATCAATCTAATATTCCTAACTCTAACAATACACCACACTAAAACACCTTCAAGGAATTTGGGGAAGTAGTCTTTATATAACTAAAAACAGTCTTAATTTGCTGGCAGTGAATTCAAATTTTAATTATACTCTCTAGAACGAAAGTCTCCTATTATGTTTATGTAACTGGTCCATATCTGAGGCCCTAACAGCAGATTCTCCAAAATCAAAACCAGACTTAATCTTGAAGGATGATTTTATTAAATATCTTGAATTTAAAAAGAGAAAGTGAAATTACTTACTTCATCCATATTTCCAAGTCTCCAGTAAGTAGATCGACATAAATTCTTTGAACCCAAAGGAACTTGGTTTATATTATAATCCTTAGGTTCAGCCTCTCTGTCTTGAAGGCTTAAAAAAATGCACATATATATGTTTATTTGTAAAAAGACAAAAGGATTATTATCTCTTGCTTTGAATGTAAATTGAAATTTCACTAGACATACATAAATATGAACATATATCTTACACTCAACACTACTGTTGCACTTTCTCTTTTATGCTACTGCTACTATTATTAGTAGTATTAATATTATTATTAATAACTAACCAATCATTCAGTCCTTCTTCCACTTTCAACTGTCATAACTTAAAGTGGACCAAAAAAACCAAACATAATCCAATTTTAGAACAAAGCATCTTTTGTAAGTGAACATATAGCATTTAATGAAAATGCACTACATAAATTACACTACAAAAACACTACAAATATATTATTGCATTATGTAGTAAGCCAGAAGCAAAGTACAGCTATGCATTTTTCTGTCAAGAACTAGCATTCAGAAATGTGACTCAATGTCTACTGGGCACGTTACTATTAAATGTGATGCACAAACCCTAGAAGTTTTTCTAATTAGAGCAGTATCTAATATTCAATTCAAAGGGTTCCATATCTCCATTTGAAATTTTTTAGGGGTCCGCAAATGAAAAGAGGTTAAAAAGGGTTGGAGATAAATGTTCATTTTCCCCTCATTTTAGGATTAAAAAAAAACAACACCCACATTTTGAATGTATGGAACTACTGTATTTTCTGACACAAAATACACTCCTGAAAAAGATAAGCACCTTAGTTTTTAAAGGCACAATGAAGTTAAAAAAAAAAAGTTTCCTTGAAAATACTGGTAAGTATCATATTTTCCCAGCGAAAGCACAGGCAACTGGGTAGGGGAGTGAAGAACATTGTGGCTGCTGTTAACCCCCAAACTGCAGGATACTGCAGGTGCTTCTAGCTGAGCCAAATTGCCCAATAACTCTTTTCTTCTCCAGCTGAGCTGGGTAGGGGAGCCAGCAGCACCTACCAGGCTAGCTGAAGCCCATCTGATCTAGTAGGAGCCTCTGCCACTGCACCCAGGGCTTGGCTCCACTTTAAAAAAAAACAAATTCTATACTAGAAGCCTCTGCCACAGTGTAGCGAAAATAGATACTTTTCTCTATGTTTCTT